GTGTCATCATAGCTCACTGCACTTTCAGACTCCTGGCTCAAATAATCCTCCTCCCTCAGCCTCCCAAGTAGCTGGGACCACAGGTGCATACCACTGTTCCTGGCTAATTTTTTTTTTTTTTTTTTAACTTTTTGTAGACATGAGTTCTTGCTATGTTGCTCAGGCTGTTTTCTTGAACTCCTGGCCTCAACAGAGCCTCCTGCTTTCACCTCCCAAAGTGCTGGCCAAATAAATCCTATTTAAGTTGAATGGGAGATTTGAAAATAGGTGTCCTTGGAAGGGACCCTGTGAACAACAGAAATATTGGAGTTGATTAGGTCAGGCCCATTATTTAGCTTTATATTCTGTTGCCAACAGAGGTATTTCTTTAAGGAATTATGGCCTGTTTACCCTGTAAACTTCCTATGCTTCTTTTCCCTTCCCTTCCCCCCTTCCCCCTTCCCCTTCCCCCTTCCCCTCCCCTCCCCTTCCCTTCCCTTCCTTCCCCTTTCCTTCCCCTTTCCTTCCCCTTTCCTTTCCCCTTTCCTTTCCTTAGACAGAGTCTTACTCTGTAGCTCCAGGTATAGTGCAGGGGTGTCCTGATAGTTCACTGTAACTTCAAACTTCAGGGCTCGAGTGATCTTCCTGTTTCAGCCTCACAAGTATGTAAGACTACAGGCGTGCACTGTGATGCCTGGCTAATTTTTCTCGTTTTAGTAGAGATGGGTTCTTGCTCTTGCTTAGGCTGATCTCAGACTCTTCAGCTCAAGCAATCTCCCGCCTTGGCCTCCCAGAGTGTTAGGATTACAGGCGTGAGCCCTGGCACCTGGCCCTGTCTCTCTCTCTCTCCTCTCTTTTTTTTTTTTTTTTTTGTGAGACGAGTCTCACTTTGTTGCCCAGGCTAGAATGAGTGCCATGGCATCAGCCTAGCCTGACAACAACCTCAAACTCCTGGCTCAAGCAACTTCCTGCTTCAGCCTCCGAGTAGCTGGACTATAGCCATGCGCCACATGCCCAGCTAATTTTTCTATATATATAGTTGGCCATTATTTTTTTCTATTATAGTAGAGATGGGTCTCGCTCTTGCTCAGGCTGGTTTTGAACTCCTGACCTTGAACAATCCCCACCTTGCGCTCCCAGAGTGCTAGGATTACAGGCGTGAGCCACTGCGCCTGGCCATCTCTTTTTTAATAACAGTTTATAGCTCTGTTATTTTATTTATTTATTTTTTTTGAGACAGAGTCTCACTTTGTTGCCCAGGCTAGAGTGAGTGCCGTGGCGTCAGCCTGGCTCACAGCAACCTCAATCTCCGGGGCTCAGCGATCCTAATGCCTCAGCCTCCCGAATAGCTGGGACTACAGGCATGCGCCACCATGCCCGGCTATTTTTTGTTTGGGTTTTTTTTTTTTTTAATTATTTTTTTTATTTTGGTATATTATGGGGGTATAATTTTTTGTATATATATTTTTAGTTGGTCAATTAATTTCTTTCTATTTTTGGTAGAGACGGGGTCTCGCTCAGGCTGGTTTTGAACCCTGACCTTGAGCAATCCGCCCGCCTCGGCCTCCCAAAGTGCTAGGATTACAGGCGTGAGCCACCACGCCCGGCATATAGCTCTGTTATTTTAAAATATATTGAAACTTGAAAATATTTTCTGATTTTCTTTTGGAATTGTTTGTTGTGGTTACTTCCATTAATGATTTGTTCCATGTAAAGGTAGACATAATTTTAATTGGAACTAAAATTTTTTTCCCTGAAAATTGGAGATGGGCATAAATTTTGGCAATTTCTTGGTATTTCTCATGTTAGCTTGGTTCCACAAGAAAAAAATAATAATATGTTGGTATTTGGACCCCAGACCAAATCTATGCACATAGTATAAAATTTGTCTTTTGGGCTATATTGGAAATATATTTTTAGTGTGTATTGTAGAAGTAATTCTGAATTGTTTTTGATTGATTAGTAGCTTATGAATTTAAAAATTTTGTTTTTGTGGTAAAATATATATAACATAAAATTTACCATCTTATTTTTTTTTATGTATATAGTTCAGTAGTGTTAATTACATTCACATTGTTGTGCAGCCACTTTCCAGTACTTTTTTTGCAAAACTGACACTATACCCATTAAACAATAACTCCCCACCCCTCTGCCCCACCCCTTGGCAACCATCTTTCTATTTTTTGTCTCAATAAATCTGACTACCCTAGGTACCTCATATAAGTAGAATTATACAGTCTTTTTGTGACTAGATTATTTCACTTGGCATAATGTCCTCAAGATTCATCCATCCATATTGTAGCATGTATCAGCATTTTCTTTTTTTTTTAAAGCTGAGTGATATTCCATTGTATGTATATACCACATTTAGCTTATCCATTTATCTGCTGATGAACATTTGGGTTACTTCCACCTTTTTTGGCTATTGTGAATAATGCCACTAGCATTTAAAAATATTTGGATTTGAGTTGTTATTTAATCTTCTCAAAAGGTTAACATCCTCTTTCATTTATGATGGGCAGCATGGTCTGGTTATTATTAAGTGGGAATTCTTTGCAGTTGGACTTTTTGGATTCAACTTCTGAATGATCCTTTCCTGGCTATTTCACTGTGAGCAAATAATGTTTTTGATGTTTGTTTTCTCAGCAGCCGAACGGGGACAGTAGTGGTTCCTTACATTGTTAAGATTAAATTAGATAATGAGTGTAAAGTGTTTAAAATTTTATGTTAGCACATAAAAGTGCACTGAATGTCCATTGGGTTCAGGTGCCCATTCAGAAGTACTGCAGTAATCTCCCAATTATGTAATCATAAAAATTTGAGTTACTAAACTCACTTGATGATAAGAAAGCATAAACCTGGATTGAATGATAGTCTTTTCTATGGATGAGATTGAGAGGACAGGGATGGGAAAAAGAGATAAGGATGAATCCTGGAAAAGTTGCCATTATCCTCTTCGTGGAAAAGGGACCTTATATCTTAACAGTTATGTACTGTGGTTTATCTAACCAGAAAAGGATCCAGGAGAACTAGAAATTTGTTTTTGTCATTGCCATCTGTTCCTTATCTTTTTCCATGCCACCAACTTTCAAAGGCATGAAAACCGGTGGGGCAACAGCTTTAATCAGGCAACCAGGTTGTGCAGTTGCATGGCACAGGTTTGTAAAGTCTGATCAGTTGTGACTCGTATTTTATAGTTTATTGTAAGAAGGTTAGGTGTCTAGTTTCCCCTCAAGAAAGATGTGAACTCAAAAGTGTCTTTTAATATACTGAATGCTTAATTCAATTTAATTTATAAATTGAATACTTAAGTCTAGAGCAGTGGTCCCCAACCTTCTTGGCACCAGGGACTGGCTTCATGGAAGATAATTCTACCACGGATGGCAGGGGGGACACCACTGCCCCAGGTCCACCCCACATCATCAGGCCCCAGATTCTCACAGGTAGCACACAGCACAGATCCCCCGGATGTGCAGTCTACAGTAGAGTTTGTGCTCCTACGAGCCCTGATGCAAGTGAAAAGTGAATCCGGCCCCCCCTTCCTGCAGCTGCCCACCTCCTGCTGTAGGGGCTGGGGCCCACCAGCTGGCTCCCAACGGGGTTGGGGACTGCATGTCTAGAGAACCAAATGCAGCCTGATCAAGAATTTTGTCTTAAATTCGATAAGCTAGCCCATGTGAATAGTGTATTGGGTAATTGGTCCTGACCATAAGTTTTGTATACCATTTTACCACGGATGCCACAAAGTATGATGCTTCTTAATATAATTGTACTTCATTCAATGATTCAAGTTTAATTCTAGTAAAATTATAGTTAATATATAAAAGATGGTATTTAATACTAAGTTTTCTTTATGTATATAAATCTTGTTTGAGTCATATTCAGTACTACTATGCTACTTCACATTGTAACCAGTAAAATTTGCACTGGTTAGGATTGTTGGAACCTTGTCTACTTCCTTTTTTTTAATTTATTAATTATTGGATTTTATTTTTTGTTCTAGAGTGGAAAAGCTAGCCTCATAAAGACTTTGTATTTGGGAGTAGTATTTTGACAATACTGAAGCCAGTTAAAAATTTGAGGCCATGTTGAATGTGTTTTGGGTGGGGTCTGGAGGAGAAAATTGCAAATGGGGTCCTGGAGCACACTGGAGAGATATGCATGAGGGAGGAATTAGGGGGGGCAGGTTGCCCTGTTCTTGTACACTAAAGTATGGCTTGCTCCTGCACCATACTTTATTTATTGATTGATTGATTGATAGATAGATAGATAGATAGATAGATAGATAGATAATAGATAGATAGATAGATAGAGTCTCACTCTGTTGCCCGGGCTAGAGTGCCGTGGTGTCAGCCTAGCTCACAGCAACCTCAAACTCCTGGCTCAACCAATCCTACTGCCTCAGCCTCCCGAGTAGCTGGGACTACAGGCATGCGCCACCATGCCCGGCTAATTTTTTCTATATATATTTTAGTTGGCCAATTAATTTCTTTCTATTTTAGTAGAGTGGGTCTCGCTCTTCCTCAGGCTGTTTTGAACTCCTTGACCTTGAGCGATCCTCCCGCGTTGGCCTCGCAGAGTGCTAGGATTACAGGCATGAGCCACCGTGCTGGCCTTGCACCATACTTTGGTGTACAAGAACAAGTCAACTTGTCTACTTCCTTGGAAGGATGACTGTACCCACAGGATATTAGTGAGTAGGGGGATATTTTTGTCACTATGAATTCACTTATTTAAGGCGACGTAGTCTAGTTATTGTAGCCCATTGTCTCCCTAACATTTAATCTATTAGCTTGGCAAATATTTATTGCATAAACAAAAAACAAGTAATTGATTGGAGTGAGTTTAGTAGAAGGGACTTGAGTAGTTTGTTAGTAGATGAGAAATTAGGCTTGAACATGATAAATAAAAGTAGGCTTTTTGTAGTTCTCAAAATGCTTAATTCAGATATTGAGAAAGTTTGTCCAAGTTAAGTGAGGATACTTCAAATAGATTAATTTTTTTTTTTTTTAATTTTTCAGCCAAACCAAACAGGAAGCTTACTTTTCTTTACCTAGCCAATGATGTCATTCAGAACAGCAAAAGGAAGGGGCCGGAGTTTACAAAAGATTTTGCACCAGTTATAGTGGAGGCTTTTAAGCATGTTTCAAGGTATGATAATTGTTTTTGGTATTAGGTAATCTGTTTTAAATGTACCATGTGTCCTTTTGCTAAAATTTACCTTAAGCCATTAAAATAAAAAAACAGGGAATATATTTCTTTGAAGCTTTCATTTGAAATGGCTTATCTCTAAAAGACATTTATAAATGTGTTAAATGTTTTCTGTGATGAAAAAAATTTTTTTGAATTATTGCAAAAGTGGGCATTTGAGTCCTTGAATTATAGCTTTCCTTTAAGATACCAGAACCAGCTGCTGTATTGCAATGAACTTCATTAAGAATTAATGACGGTATTGAATTAAAAATTTGTGTGCTTATAAAGCTATCAATCTTTTTTTTTATTTGCATCATTCATAACTTTGCCATATATCAATCTTATAACTAGCATTTCTGTATATACGTACTACCCTTTCCCCTCATTGTTTATAATGATTTTAAGGTTTTCTAGTGTCTGGATATATTATAACATTTTAAAATGCTTTGGAAATAAAGAATATTTATTTAAAGTGTCATAAACCTATTGAAAAATTTTGCCACAGAAAATTCTAAGAGTGAAAATCTATACTTTGGCTTATGCCCTTTTGACTGCTTATTTCAAACATTACATGCAGACATGTGATAGATTTACTAGGTAAATATTATTGAGGTAGATTATTAAATTCATCTATGTTATGGAATTCAATGGTGAATGATGATGATCTGTGTTGAATGGTATAAGGATGAAAATCTACTTTACCACATGCCATGCAGTTATAGTAGATACATGTTTTTAAAAAGTATGAAATACTGCTTTATGTTGCTTTCTTGAATAAGTATTATTTACTTTTCAATGTAGATACTGCATTCAACCATCTTTTAAGGTGTTGGTGTTTCTTAGTGTTAACCCTAGGCCCTTGTTGGGAAGTCATATTCTTCATTTGCCCTCTGAATGATTTTGTACACTGTATGTATTTAGTTATTATCCACACTGTAATGACTTATAATCTTGTATTCCAATCCAGACTTTTTTCTTTGGTCATACACCTGTGTGCCCAATGACATTTCTATTTGTATGTATCCCAAACATGTCAAACTCAGTGTCTGCTGTTGAACTCATTGTGTCCTTGCCTCCTGCCAAACGTAGATGGGCAACTCCATCTTTGCAGATGCCCATGCAAGAAATTAGGTGTCATCTTTAACTCTTCTTTCTCCTTCACTCCCCCATATCCCATTATAGGACACATTCACTCAGTTCCTTAGATTTCTTACTCTTCCAGTTATCATAATGTCTTTTCTGTGTAATTGCAGTAGCCTGTAGTATTGTTTAATCCCTTTAGGAAACTGTAGACAGAATTGCAGAGCTGATCATAATACTTCCTTGCCTTTGAGTGGTTCTCATTTGTCTTAGAGATCAAGTCTAAAGTCTATGATGTTCCTTCATGGTGCTGCCTACCTCTCCAGACTCCTGTCTCACATTTATTCCACACACAATCTATAGTCCACAGTTTAAACTCTTTGAGACTTTTTAGTTCTTTCTGCTTTAAAACTTTTATGTATATTGCCTCTCCCTAGAATTCAATAAAATATTTATTGACTACCTACTCTGTGTGAGGCCCTGATTAGTAGTGAACAAGACAAGATTGTGTTCTATTAGAACTTATATTTCAGTGGATAACAAAGGTAATAACTAGATAGATAAGTGAATGCATATATTAAATATAATGTCCAATGACAAATGCTATGAAGAAACATAAAGCAGGGAAGGAACCCTAGAGGGTATGAGGGTGCTCAGTTACATAAGATAAAGAACAACTGTTTTGTTGTTCAAGCAGGTGGCTTATGCACAGAGACTAAAAGAAGGGATGAAATGAGCTGTTTGTTTGGCTGTCTAGCAGGAAAGGATTCTAGGCAGAAAGAACACTTGGCAGAAACAGAGAGATAGCTATGTGCTGGGCATGTTTGAGGATCAGCAAGGAGATTTGTGTGGGAGAAAGTATTAGGGAATATAGACTTGAGAGGTTGCCAGGTTGCATGTGAGCCTTATGGCCCAGGCTGAGGACTTTAGTTTTATTCTTGGTATGTTTGGTAGCTCTGGAAGCATTGAGAGCAGTGTGATCTGATTTATATTATTAAAAGTAGGATGCTTTTAGAGAATACAGTAAAAGAGTAGAGATTGGGAGATCAGTGAGAAGACTGTTAATACAAATCCAGGCAAGAGATGGTAGTGGCTCAGTCTACAGTGGTAGTGATGAGAGGTAGGAAATGGTTGGGAGTAGTCTGTTTCCCATTTCCCTGTATGTCCAATTTTCATATCTAAGTTTCAGTAACACTTGCTCAGTACTCTTCCTGATCTTGCTTAAACTGGGCCATGTCTCTCTGATATCTAAAGATAGTGCCTATCTTTAGCACTTTGTTCCCTTTTGTGGCACTTACAAATAAGAGCTGCCATAAGGCTTCATTTGCATCTCCATGTCAAAGATTGTACCTTGATCAATAAATATTTGTTGAGTAACTTAAAAAGTCACTTATGAGAAATCTCTCTTAGCTTCATGTTTAGCCCCCCTTAGGTTAGGAACATTTTCTTTGTAAACCCCAGTTCTTTGTAATTTTTTGTTTAATAATATGTTTATAAGATCTTTAAGGGAATCAGGGAGTATGTCTTGATCGCTTCACCCTTGAATTACTAGCCACATACCGGTGCTCAGTAAACATTGGGGAGTTTTTTCCAGGGAATGAATATATCTGCTTGGTTCTTGTTGTTGTTGTTGAGAAAAAGTCAGCTGACTCTTTATTGCTGGAGGAGTATCTGCTTGTTTTTAAAACCACCATTACCTTTTCAATAGCACTATGCATTTTAACCGTTAATATTTTTGTTTTTCTTTAGTGAAACTGATGAAAGTTGTAAGAAGCACCTTGGAAGAGTGTTGTCTATTTGGGAAGAAAGGTCTGTTTATGAAAATGATGTATTAGAACAACTTAAGCTAGCTCTGTGTAAGTATATAATCTTGATCTCTTATCATAAGCTCTTCATTAAAATATATTGTTTCATTAAAACTTAAATGTTCTTTTAATTCAGATGGCGATAAGAAGCCTAGGAAGCGAACTTATGAACAGATAAAGGTGGATGAAAATGAAAACTGTTCTTCTCTGGGATCTCCAAGTGAACCACCACAGGTAGAAGTTTTTCTCTGTTAAAAGAGTTATGTTACTTTTACTTTGTGTGGAGCTTTATTAATTTCAATGTTTTATTTCTGTAAATTGATTTTTAATATAATTTTGGGTATAAGAAAGAAGCTACATTAATTATCTCTTATTTTCTGGTTAAGAAATTGCTTATGTTTACTGTGGTATGTTGTGTATTGTATATTTTGCATAGAAAGAATTTTTAAGTGCTAAGTATTAATATCATCAGGTATGATGAGATACCAACTGTTTAAAGTTTTTTTAAAAAATAAAACATTATACGACATGCATATTTTGTTCTGTGATTTAAGTACACTAAAAACTTCATTCTTAAACATAAACACTGCCCCTTTAAATATTTGTTTTTAAACATGTAAAACGGCAAGTATGTATTCATATAGTTCTGTGTAACTATACAGAACTATGCATTTCTATGGAAAAATAAGTTAGATTGGAATCATTATCTTAATACCCCATGTCCTCCCAGGTTGGTACAGTATAGCATTCATTAACCATCATAAGAATTCCAGAAAGACATTTTGAACTTTTAAGTAAGTGGGCATTGAATCTTTAAGCTTCCTCCTTCTATGTTTCAGACATATAGGAGGAACAGATAAAATTTAAAAGGAGAAAATGAAGACATAGCTATACTCTTAAAACAAGGTAAATACATCTTCCTGGGCAAGAAATGGTACAGAAGCACAGCTCAGTATGTGAGCCAGAGTCTGGTTCCTATTGAGCTCTGGTTCAGAAGCAGGCAGGTTGCTTCTAGAGTAATAAGAATCCACACTGCTCCATGAGAGTTAGAGTACTGGGCCCAGACTCAGTGCATAAAATCAGAGGCTGGGAGGGGGTCTTACTCTCATGAAAGGAGCCTGAAAGAAAGAAGTGATCAATTACTGTCTAGAAGTGTGGATTTATATCAGTCTTAGTACTAGGGAGGCAGAAAGAATCGGACCAAAGCTCTCAGCCAGGACCTGAGCCAATCTTCCTGTTGGTTTAATGACAGGAATGCTGAAATCCACTGGTCACCATGGACAAGAGCTTGAATAGAAAAACAGTGAGAACATCTGGAACAACCAAACTCTAAAATTTATATTTCTTCCTATTGGTAATAACGCACAACAGAAAATCATTTTGTGCTGAGAGTACCATTATAATTCCATGCACAGCATTTTACCTGCATTCCGGATAAAAAATCTGACCTTCTCCCACTCTCCCTGATGAAGTTGCACTTCTTAGGAGTATTTTGGAGTAACCATCTGCCTCTTCTCTAGTATTTGTATAAAATGCGATTGCTCTTTGTTTTATAATGACTATTTTCCGATTAATTGTGCTGCTTAATTCTCAGTGGTTCAGCTTTGTTGTCACCATATTATTTATGTCACTGCTTATAAGGATGGCTGAAATCTCTTTGCAGGGAACTTAGAATGAAAATGTGAAGCCATTATAAGATCAGCTTGTAGTTGAAGCATGTATGCATTGTCAAGACCAGAAAGCCAAATTTCTTCTTAGAACTCCATAAAATTTTGGAACTTTTTAAGACTGATTTAAAAAATAGTATTTTATATCAGTTAGTTGTGGCACTATGAGAAAGAAGCTTTCTGGTAATTGTCATTGCTCTTAAACTCACTTTCAACATACAGGGTATATATCTTATAATGAAATTATTTTTTAAAATACTGGGATTTTAAACACATTCTAAAGAATTAAAAGCATACTTAGAAGAGTGTTTTGCCATGTGCTAAATCTTAATGATAGTATTTTTTGTAAGGGAATAGCTTGAAGAAAAATTAGTAACTGGATGTCAATGCTATCTTTTTTTCTCTCTTTTACCAACTAGGAAGAAGCACTTAGGCAATGTCATCTTAATATATACATAGAATTAATAATCTATATTTTTTAGGAATAGGTGTAATTTCCTAGTGTCTCTGAAACTATTCAAAAAGAGACAGACACTCATTTGGGGGCTCTCAATAATAAAAAAAAAAAAGAAAACAAAAAGAGAAAGACAAGAAAGTTGGGATAGGGATGGAGACTAGTTAGAAGAAAATTTATTATAAATTGTGAAATCATCAGTAAGCAAAGAATCGCCCTTCCCTTTAATTATAGCTGGTCTGAAAACAGTGCACCTATTATAAAATATTGTAATGATAAAATAATTTGTATACCAGCCAAGCAATATATAAATATTAGTCATCAGATATACAGAATTATGAAATACTTTAGGGATCTTATTAACAAGCCATAGATAATTGAAGATATCATATTTGAACATATTCCAAAACTACCGTTCTCTTGTGCTTTTAATTACAGTATGTAGAAATGGAATCTGGGAGACTCTTCTGTGTTGTAGTAGATAATTTGTATCCCCCTGCCCCCAATATCCAGTTTTATATTTAAAAAGTCATCTTATGTACAATGATAATACATATATCGTGCGTAAAACTTGAATACTCTAGATTGAAGTTATAGCCTACATTCCCTTTTACCACTGATATACTTGGCATATAAATCAATCACTTAACCCATTTTAATAATCAGATAATTATTTTTACACTATCTGTCTCCATGTCTTAACACTTCGGACAATTAATTTCTTTCTATATTTAGTAGAGACAGGGTTTCACTGTTGCTCAGGCTGGTCTCAAACTCCTGACCTTGAGCAATCCTCCTGCTCCCGCTCCCAGAGTGTTAGGATTACAGGCGTGAGCCACCACGTCCTGGCCTGTTTTTATTTATTTATTTAATATGGATGCATCTGTTGTGTTTATTTAGAGATAGGGTTCACTCTTTTGCCCTGGCTAAGAGTGCAGTGGCCCAATTGTGGGCTCATTGTAGCCCTCAAATACCTGGGCTGAAGTGATCTTTCTGCTCCAGCGTCCTGAGTAGCTGGGACTACAGGTGCATGGCTACCATGCCTGGGTTAACATTTAAAAATTTTCTTGGTATAGATGGGGTCTTCTATGTTGCCATGGTGGTCTTAAACTCCTGGCCTCAAGCAATTCTCTCACTCAAGTCTTCAAAGTGCTGTGATTACAGGCATAGGCCACTGTACCCAGCCTTGTTTATTTTCAACACTTAACATAGTTTAGTTTCTATTTCTTTTTCTTTTTCTTTTCTTTTTTTTTTTTGAGACCAGAGTCTCGCTTTGTTGCCCAGGCTAGAGTGAGTGCCATGGCGTCAGCCTAGCTCACAGCAAGCTCAAACTCCTGGGCTCAACGCGATCCCTGCTGCCTCAGCCTCCCAAGTAGCGTGGACTACAGGCATGCGCCACCATGCCTGGCTGATTTTTTCTATATATATATAGCTGGCCAATTAATTTCTTTTCTATTTATAGTAAGATGGGTCTTGCTCTTGCTCGGCTGGTTTCGAACTCCTGACCTTGAGCCATCCGCCCACCTCGCCTCGCCGATGCTTATACCTCGCCACGCCAGTTC